CTTTGGACCCCCGCTCACCTCACCATCGAGGAGGCTCTTGAGCGAGGGTGTGACCCCGTAGAGTGGATTGGCAATGCTTGGGCGGATTATTTCGCCAAGTTTGCGTCCAGCCGTGTTGTGCTCGCTAATGTAACTAAGGATGCAATTGAAAGCGAGATCCAGTATCAGAAGGCAACTCTTGATTACATTTCATGGGCTGCCGCCCGTATGATCCGCACTAAGAAATGGACGGATGTTCCTCCTCCCCCTTCGGCTCCGAGGGTCTCTCCCATCGTTCGTCTCTCGCTCCATGGTCACAAGTTCTATGTGAATGAACGCACTGACGAGGTGCGCTGTATTTCTTGCTTTGCAGGCGCGCGAACAAGCGCAACTTTGCAGCATCTGTGTAATGGTCCGTCCAGATTTTGCAATCCCACCACCCTGTCAGCAAGGCCACGAGTGGCTTCGAATGGCCGGTGAATCTGCGCGACCTTTGAGGGCCGCTGTTGTGGCGGAGGCCGAGCAGGCGCTTGAGTCTGCTGGCTTGCTCGACCCCTCCCCGCCTGAGAATCCCACAGGCGATGGCGAGGCAGCGATACGTGAATTTTCCGACCGCCGGCACGCCATGAAGCGATTCGGCCGTGTCTTGATTTGTTCGCGATGTTCTGGCTTCCTGATCTTGCCCCATAGGGTCCCGCGTGCCCTCCAGGAGATGTGTCGTGGCCCTTCCGCGGTCCCGTCCACCAGGAATAAGCAAACCAGGAAGCTGAATAAGGCTGAGCGTGGCCTCCACCCCACGACGGGTGAAGCCTTAGACGGCTAACTTGTTCTTGGCGGTGGTGCTGGCCCTATCCTGAGGGTATGTGCCGCCCACGCTCGTCTCACCCCTGTCCTGGCGCCGAAATTCGTGACATGTTCGTTGCGTCTTGAATTGGGGTGCGATTTATTTTCTCCGGGTTGACCGCCAGCTCGGTTTGCTGGCATGTGCTCGTAGGGGGTTGGGACAAAATTGCCCGGCGTTTTCCCCTATCGTGCCATGCCCGTGCTGTCTCTTCTATAGCCTGCTGCTGTTCGGTCACACGGACGGCATGTAGTCGGCGCCCACCACCTCCTGGGGTCTCCTGGGGCCTCCTGAGGCCGCCTGGGGCCTCCTGGGGCCTCCTGGGGCTTCAGAACTACATGCACACAGAGACACAAATCACGCCCAACACATCACAGGCTAGACAAACATAACACACACACACACACAACACTTACAACACACAAAAAGCACGCACCACACAAAGCATACACCACAAACACACACACACACACACACACACACACGCACAACACTCACAATCCTGGGGCCTCCTGGAGCCTCTTCTGGTATCCAAGTCGGGCCTCCTGAGGCTTCCTGGGGGGCCCTGGTACACACATCGCAAGGTGTGGCAAGCCCACTTGCGCTCGAGTGCGACTTCGATGTTGCATTTCACTCCTGCTTCAAACGCCCCTTCAGTTTTTTGTATGAGCCTGGGCACACACGTGCCACTTGTATATATATATATATACACACATATAGACATATACATATATGTATATGTGTGTATTACGCATGATTGATTCCCTGGCCGTCGCCGTACTGATCCAGGGTTGCGGCACTGCCCCATATCGGCTATCGGGGGTCTCTTGGGGCCGTTCTCGGGTTCTCAGGCCGTCTTTTGGGTCTGCTGGACCCGTTGACGAATCTTGGAGCTCTCAGGGACGTCTTTGGGGTCTTGGGGCTGTCTGGGGGTGTTCTGTGGGCCCGTTGGGCTGTCTTGGGGCTGCCATGGGCTGTCTGCAGCCTCTGTGGGGGCCCTCTTGGGGCGTCTTGGGACCCTCTCGAGCCGTCTTGGACGCATCTTGGGCCATCCTGGGCCCTTCTTGGGCCATCCTGGGCCCTTCTTGGAGCCCGCTTGGACGCCTTTGGACCGTTGGGGCCCTCTTGGGGCCATTTGGGCCGTCTTGGGCGCTTTGAAAACCGAAAGTGTGGGTTTTCAAAAATCGTCGAACACCTGACAGGGAAAACTGTTATGTTGCATCTTGGGTGCTTCGTACGAAATCCCCTCGGGAGCCCCTTGGGCCGTCCTGGGAGCCCGTTGGGCCGTTTACTGGACTTCTGTGGCCCATCTTGTGCCATCTTTAAATCTTCTAGGGGCACCACCCCACCCCCCCGGTCACGGAGTAACGCGTGCACCGGCCACCCCCGCTCCTTCGTAAATTACCCCTTTAACGGGCCCAACCATATGCAGCAGGCGTGCGTACCGCAAGGCAGGTGGGACGAAAGAAGGGGAAGTCCCCATGCGGCCAAAAACCATGAGGGGTGTGCCGAAGTGGGGAGGTGCCGACTTGCGGGCGCTGGCGCCTTTGGTGGAGCTCCCTGTGGCCTTCGGGGCCACGAGACGCGTGAGGGGTGTGCCGAAATGAAGCGCCGACGCCACGCGGACCCTAGCATTCGGGCCTTCGGTGGAGCTCCCCATGGGGCCACGACAAGCGTGAGGGGTGTGCCGAAATAAAGCATCGACGCCATGCGAACGCTGCCACCGGGGCCTTCGGTGAAACCCCCTACAGGGGCCACGAATCGTGTGAGGGGTGTGCCGAAACAAAGCGCCGCCGCCATGTGGACGCTGCCACTGGGGCCTCAGCTGGAGCTCCCTGGAGCCGCGAAACGTGTTAGGGGTGTGCCAAAATAAGGCGCCGACGTCGTGCGAACGCTGCCACACTTGGGCCCTCGCTTGAGCTCTCTGTGGGGCCACGAAACGTGTTGGGGGTATACCGACATGGGGCGCCGCCGCCATACGGACCATGGCACTTGGGCATTAGCTGGAGCTCCCCATGGGGCCACGAAACGTGTGAGGGGGTGTGCCGACGTGAAGCGCCGACGCCATGCGGACCCTGGTATCTGGACCTTAGCTAGAGCTCCCTATGGGGCCACGAAACGTGTGAGGGGTGCAACAAAATGAGGCGCCGACGCCGTACGGACCCTGGCATCTGTGCCCTAGCTGGAGTTCCATGTGGGGCCACGAAACGTGTGAGGGGTACGCCGAAATGAGGCATGGGAGGGCTGAGGCACGAATGGGATGCCAATGGTAATGGTGATGATGATGACGATGATGACCACGATGACGACGCGGACGTGCGGAGGGCAGAGACAAGGATGGGAGGACGGGGAGGGGGGAGGGAGGAGGGAGGGACGCGGGGCGTTGCTAACTCAAAACGAGGACCCAACACAACGCACTCCCGAGGCCACAATCCCTCGTAAGGGAACTATGGATCAGCGCTCCCGAGGCCACGATCGCCCGTAAAAAACGTGGATCCGCATTCCCGAGCTTCCAGGACGGCCGAGGTAAACCAAGGCTGCAAAGATGACCTAAGATGCCTCCAAGACGGCCCAAGTTGGACCCAAGCCAGTCCAAGATGGCCTCAGAACGGTCCAAGAGGCACCTGAGACTGTCCAGGAGGGCCACGAAGAAGCCAACATTGATGTTCCTTACCTGATTGAAAGATGCTTGCATCTTCACGTGTTTCGGGCTTCCTTCAGCTCCAGACGGCCCTAGAGGCCTTCAAGATGTCCCCAAGACGGCTCAGGAAGGTCCCAAGATGGTCTGATAGTTCTCCTAGAGAGCCTCAAGACGGCCCAAGAAGGCCCTAGAACAGTTGCCTCCAAGAGTGCTGGGCTGGCACGGTAGCGGGACAGGCCGCAGACAGCTGGATAATGAAATCATATTGTAACCAACGCCGGTAGCTTCACTCTTTTTCCCAACCATCATGTGGTGGCGGGTCCTCATTTTCAGTCAGAAGCGCCCCGCGTCCTCCTCTCCTCCACCCCCTCCTCCTCCTCCTCCTATCCCTGCCTCTGCCCTCCGCATGTCAACTACTTCGGTACACCCATCACACGTCTCGTGGCCCACACGGAGCTCCGACGAAGGCCCCAGCGGCAGCGTCCGCATGGCGCACCCGCACCCAACACACCTCTCAAACGTTTCGTGGCCCCACAAGGAGTTCCGCCGAAAACCCCAGCGGCAACGTCTGAACGGCGTACCCGCACACAATCCGGCGCACCTCACACGTCTCGTGGCCCCATTGGAAGCTCCACCGAAAGCCCCAGTGGCAGCCTTCGCATTTCGCCGCCGCAGGCATGTCGGCACACCCCTCACATGTTCCGTGGCCCCACAGTGAGCTCACCCGAAGGCCCCAGCGGCAGCGTCCGCATGGCGCACCCGCACCCTGTTCGGTACACCCCTCACACGTTTCGTGGCCCACACGGAGCTCCGACGCAGGCCCCAGCGGCAGCGTCCGCGTGGCGACACACACACACACACACACACACACACACACGCATCCGCAAGGTATGCATGGCGTCGGCGCCTCACTTCAGCGCACATCTCACACGCTTCTTGGCCCCATAGGGAGCCCCAGCTCCAACGAAGGCCCCAGTGGCAGCGTCCGCACGGCGCACCCGCACCCAATGTTGGCACAACCCTCACACACACACACACACACACACACACACACACACGTTTCGTGGCCCCACAGGGAGTTCCACCGAAAGCCCTGGCGGCAGCGTCTGCATGGCGCACCCGCACACGATCTGGCGCACCCCTCACACGTCTCGTGGCCCCGCTGGGAGCTCCACCGAAGGCCCCGGCGGCGGCGTCCGCACGGCGAACCAGCACACACACACACACACACACACACTCCATTCGGCAGACCCCTCACACGTGTCGTGGCCCCGTAGGGAGCTCCACCGAAGGCCCCAGCGGCGGCGTCCGCATGGCGTACCTGGACCCAAGTCGGCACACCCCTCACACGTTTCGTGGCCCCGTAGGGAGTTCCACCGAAGGACCCAGCGGCAGCGTCCGCATGGCGGAGCCGCACCCTATTCGGCACACCCCCCACACGTTTCGTGGCCCCACAGGGAACTGCATATGATTGGGTCCTTCGCCAGGGATATTTTTTCGAGCGAGCGCGTACAAAAATCTTCGCTCCTCAACCCTCGC